GGGTTTTGGATTTTTTTGGAAAGTTTTGGGTTTTAGAGAGATAAAGTGTTTTTATTATAAACCGTAAATAGCAAGTCCCAAAACTTGCTACATGGTTAGTAAATAGTTCGAATCATACAAATTTGATATAAATTACTATTATTATCTTTTGTTTATCTTGAAATGAATTAAAATGTAGAGATATGGAAAATATAAGGAGCTTTTATGCTGTTTTTAGAATAGATGGGGGAACTTTAATATTTGGCAAAGTATAGGGGGTTTTGATATATCTCACCAAAAAAAATAAAAATAAGAAAAGAAAGGGAGTGCTGACAAGGCAATAATGCAAAAAACTTAGTTAAAATCCCGAAGAAAAGAAAAGGAATCAACGGTCAAGATCTGCTCCACCCTTTCTGGCTCTCTCAGTTTATCTTCCCAACAATATAATCTTCTCCCAACTCTCCTCCTTCCCCCGACCTACAAACAGAAACCTCTCTCTTTTCCGATATATATATATATATATATGATATAACCGTGTGTGTGTTTCTATATATAAAGAGAGAGAGAGGGGGTGAATTAAGTCTGTGTTGTGTGTGTGTGTGGAGAGATGATGTTAGGGAAGAGGGGGCGTCCTCCGCCGATGAAGAGAACTACAAGCATGACAGAGTTCACCTGGGATCTCAACGGCGGCGCCGCCGCTGAGGGTGTGTATCAGCCTTTCGATCTCAACAACCCTTACAACGGCGGTCTAGATCAGAAGTACATGGCTTCCGCCGCCGCCGCCGCCGCCGCCTCACCCAGAGGCCAGCGGCGCAACTCGGCGGAAGTCACTGGTAATTTCTTGAGGGTGTGTTCTCTCTGCAAGCGCCGCCTCATACCAGGTCGCGACATCTTCATGTACAGGTAATTAATATCAATCAAATATATTTTCTTTATTTTCCGATGTATATATCTATGATTTGTTACTGCTTAATGATTATAATTTATATGTATTAGTCTTCTGCTGTAATAAGTTTTTGAATAAATATGATTATTCAGAGGTGATAGTGCGTTCTGCAGTCAAGAGTGTAGACAACAACAGATGAATAAAGACGAGAGAAAAGACAAGTGTTTGGTTTCATCCGCCCCAGTTACCCAACTCTCCGCCACCGCCGATAGGGTTTCCGCCGTCTAGTACTTCAGCAACATATATATATATATATATATATATATATATATATATATATATATATATATATATATATATATATATATATATATATATATATATATATATATATATGTTTTAGTTTACTATATTTCAAAGGGGTCTTTACAAATAAGTCCATCAATGGCTACTTATTTATAAAGAGATCAAGACAAAAAACTCATTTACCAATAAGTCCACATATGGTCCAGATTTTTGTAAAGGACTAAAATAACTCCTCATACTTTAATATGCTCCAATTTTATCCTCAACTTTATTTAACCTCAATTTGACCCCAAATTTCACAAATTCTTCAATTTTGACCCAAAATTTTTTTTTTTCAAATTTTTTTTTTCAAAAACTTTTCAATTATTTTTTTTTCCTTCCGGATTTTTTCGCCGGTTTCCGGCGTTGACTTTTTCGCTTTTTTTTTTTCTTTCTTCTTTTCTTTCTTTCTGTAACCTTTTTTTTTTTCGTTTAAACAACAATATTGCTGTGATTGACAGTAATATTAACTATATTACTGTTAAACACAGTAAAATTAAACTAAACTACTGTTTAACACAGTAATATTGCTATATTAATCTCTAGCACAGTAATATTAACACAACAAAACTCATTATTATTGTGTATTAGAGTAATATTACTATGTTGACCGTTCAACAAATGTTAACATAATAAAAAACCAAAAGAATTAATATTATTGTGAGTGACAGTAATATTACTATAACAACATAATATTACCGTCAACCACAGTAATATTACAATAATAGACAGTAATATTATTACGTTACTCCATGAATAACACAAACAAACAAAAAATCCAAACAAAATAATAATATTGATGTGGTTGTAGCAATATTACTATAACAACAAATAATATTAACCGTCAACCACAG